ACGAAGCCTTACACCCCTCCTCCGCCGCGCATCGTCGACCCGGCAGCGCCATCAGCCAACAACCGTACAAAGAAAAAGAAGAAACAAGCAGGGAAAGGGGCCGGGGAGGATAGCTCGACGCCACCACGCGGCACACAGATCCGCCGTAACCCAGCGAAGGCGCTTCAAGTCTGGTCCCCAATTAAGGAGAAGAGAGTGAAGAGCAGGGAGCGACGCATATCCCTAACTCTCCAGCAAATCCAGGAATGGACGAATGCGGCAAAGCCCGGCGAAGAACCAGAGAAGGCAGCGAGGACCTCGACGATCACCACACCCCAGGGAGATGATCGAAATATGGTGGCGGCCACGGCTACAACTGCCCCTGACCTCGGATAATTTCTTTCGATGCTGACTTCTTTCTTCCCCTTTTTCGCATTTTTCCTTATGTCTATGTCCTTTGACTCTGATTTTAAAATTCTCTCCTGGAATGTGGGTGGCGCTGGGGGCAGATCGTTTTTACGCTCCCTCCGGTTTGCAATCCAGCTTCACCGGCCTAACTTTCTTGTGTTGTTGGAACCTCAGGTCAGTGGCGCGGTGGCTGACTCTGTTTGCGAGAAGCTAGGCTTCCCCGATGTTGCTCGTGTCGAAGCTTCTGGTCGAAGTGGGGGCATATGGGTCTTCTGGAACGCGCAACATTTTGATGCTCATATTTACTCTGCGGGCGATCAGCATCTTACTCTGTCTATTTGCCAGAACAGCTCGCCAATTTGGTTCTTGACTGCGATTTATGCGTCTCCTCGGCAGCCGCCTCAGAGCTTGCTCTGGTATAACCTGGTTGAAGAAAGCAAGAACATCACCTATCCTTGGATTCTGACCGGTGACTTCAACGCCATTTCTTCGTCGGACGAGAAGAGCGGCCCCTGTACTGCTGCCACCCTCCGCAGGTGTAGACGGTTTAACCAATGGATGAACCACGCGGAGCTTGTGGACTTGGGCTTCTCTGGGCCCCGTTTCACATGGTCAAGAGGATCTCAAGCTACCACCTTCAAAGCGAGCAGGCTGGATCGTAGTCTCTGTAACCTGAGTTGGAATGAGGCTTTTCCTAACACTACTGTTCTGCATCTTCCTCGAGTGGGGTCTGATCATCACCCAATCCTCACTTCTGTTTCTCGCCAGGGAGTCTCGCAACCCTCTTCTAGACCTTTCAAGTTTGAAGCAGCTTGGATTACGCATGATAATTTTTACAGTTTTTTGGATGAATCTTGGAACTCACAGGCTGCCTTACCCCTTGCCTTGCAGGATTTATCTTCAAAGCTGCAAAGTTGGAATACTTCGGTTTTTGGCAATATTTCGCAAAGGAAAAGGAGATTGTTGGCTCGGGTCAGTGGGGTGGAAAAGCGTCTGGCCGAGGGCTTTTCTCCTGGCCTAGCTAAACTTCATTCAAAGCTTTCGACGGAGTTAGAGAAGGTCTTGGAGCAGGAAGAATTGTTGTGGTTCCAAAGATCTCGGGAGAACTGGGTCAAATTTGGGGAGAGGAATACTTCCTACTTCCACCAGTTAGCTAAGATCAGACGGAGGGCAAACAAGATTGCTTGTCTGAAGGATGAGAATGGGGATTGGGTGATGGATAGACATCAATTGGCCTCCATGGTTTTCCAGTTTTACACTGATCTGTATCTGCAGGATAACACGATCTATGAGGACTTGATGCCTCGAGGAGCTTTCCCTCACATCAGCCTTGCGGACCTTAGTCAGCTTCTCCGACCTTTCACCATCCAAGATGTGCACCGAGCTGTTTTTGATATGAAACCGCTCCAGGCCCCGGGTCCGGATGGTTTTCAAGCTATTTTCTACCAGCACACTTGGAAGACTGTGGGGAAGTCCCTTACTGACATGGCCATCTCGTTTTTTGAGGGAGGTGAGCTCCCAGATGAGGTTTTTGCTTCTACAGTGGTGCTCATCCCCAAAATTGAGAATCCTGAGACTGTTGGGCATCTCCGGCCGATCTCTCTTAATAACGTCAGTCTCAAGGCCATCACTAAAGTCATGACTAGCAGGTTGAAGTCGGTTATGAGCACTCTGGTTTCTCCTCGACAGAGCAGCTTTATTCCGGGCCGGCAGACGACAGACAATATCCTGATTGTCCAGGAATTTCTCCATTCTATGCGTAAGCGTCGAGGCAAGAAGGGAGGGTTGGTAATGAAAATTGATCTTGAAAAGGCGTATGACAGGCTCAGGTGGGATTTTCTTCGGGATACTCTCGTTGAAGTTGGTCTCCCGAGCTCTTGGATTCGCTGCATCATGTACTGTGTCGAGAAGAATGCTATGCGCATCCTCTGGAACGGAGAACTCTTGCAACCCATTTCCCCGACCCGAGGCGTTAGACAGGGAGACCCTCTTTCACCTTACCTTTTTGTTTTATGTATGGAACGACTCTCTCACAGAATAGACCGGGCTGTCCAGGAAAAGCGTTGGAAACCTGTCAGGCTTTCGCCAGGAGGCCCGGCTTTAACGCATCTCTTTTTTGCAGATGACCTCATCCTTTTTGCCGAGGCGGAGGGCTCACAAGTCCGGATCATCAAAGACTGCTTGGATGAGTTTTGTGCTAGCTCTGGCCAGAGAGTGAACTTCAACAAATCCTTGCTCTATGTCTCGCCGAACATCGATCAGGCTCGTGCTCAGCGGTTAAGCGATAGGGCTGGCATTCCCCTGACTCTTAGTCTGGGTCGCTACCTCGGTCTGCAAGCGATTCATGGGAGAATCACTAAGAGTAGATACCAGCCCCTGGTTCTTCAAATTCAGAAGAAGCTTGCTCCCTGGAAGGCTAGGCGCCTCTCCCTTGCTGCGAGGATTACGGTGGCGCGATCGGTGTCTCTCGCCATTCCTACTTATCCTATGCAGACTGAACTTATTCCTATGAATGTTTGTAAAACTATTGACAGGATTAACAGGGATTTCATCTGGGGAGAGAGAGAGCAACAGGGAAGGATGCATCTGGTAGCCTGGGAAAAGCTTACCGAGCCAAAGAGTCAAGGTGGTGCAGGCTTGAGACCCCTGAGACAAGCTAATCTGGCTCTCCTGGCTAAAGGAGGCTGGCGGTTGCTTCAAGAGAAGAGTTCACTCTGGACACAGCTTTTTCGAGCCAAGTATGGACGCCAACGGGAAGGATTGGACCTGTTCCGCCAAAGTCAGGGAAGTTCCTTTGCTTGGAGGAGCTTTGTCAAAGCTTCTAGTTTACTGAAACAAGGTTGTGGGTGGAATATCCACAGTGGGAAAAACACTAAGTTTTGGTGTGATCTTTGGTTGATGCAGGTTCCACTCGTGGAGATGGCCCTGCAACCGGTGCCAAGCGAGATGATGTCGGACGCTGTTGCTGAGTACCTTGACAATGACGGTACGTGGGATGTGGAGCGATTGGCCCCCTGGCTGCCTGAGGAGGTCCTGCAGAAAATGACAGCGGTAGCAGTTGACCCTCTCTCCACCGATAAGGACACGATTTTCTGGACGGAATCCTCGAATGGCTGCTTCTCTACGAAAACAGCTTACCTCTTGGCTAACTCGCCCCGACATGATCCCCGGCAGAAGTTGTGGAAGCAAGTGTGGCAGCTCCCTGTCCCGGAAAGAGTTCGGTGCTTTGCCTGGCTGGTTTGCTTGGACAAGATTGCGACGAATCAGCTGCGATTCTCCAGAAAGTGCTCCCCGTCCTCCTCCTGCTACCGCTGTGAAGATGTTGCTGAGACTGTTTGTCATGTCCTCCGGGATTGCCCGCCCGCTGCCTTCTTTTGGAGCAGGCATGTGCGGGAACCTGAGCAGCAAGCTTTCTTCTCAGCTTCAGCTGGAGACTGGTTGCAGAAGAATCTCCTCAAGGATGAGACCATGGTGTCAGGTGCTAGTTGGAACGCTTTTTTCAGTATAGCGATTTGGTGTTTGTGGAAGAACAGGTGCACGGGCTGCTTCAAAGGGAGGAATGCTACTCTGACCGCTCCTTCCCTGAGCCACTCGATCATGCACAGGAGCAGCCTTTGGCACAAGGCTTGGAACGCCCCTTCAGTTTCTCCAGGTAAACCAAGAATGGTCCATGATAGAAGGGTTGAGAACGTTAGGTGGCTCGCCCCCCCAAGGGGTTGGCTGAAACTTAATGTAGATGGGGCCTCGGCAGGTAACCCTGGGATTGCAGGAGCTGGTGGGTTGATTAGAGATGAGCAGGGTCGCTGGATGGCCGGGTTTGTGGCTATGATTGGGGAAGCCTCGGCAGCCCTTGCTGAGCTGTGGGCTATTCGTCATGGTTTGGATATTGCTTGGCGGTGCAGGTGCAGGAACTTGATCACTGAGTCGGACTCTCAACTTGCTATCCAGCTGATTAAGGATAGACAGGATCCCATTCACCCCTACGCCGGCCTGCTTACCTCGATACGGCGGCGTATAGCTCAGGATTGGCTGGTCAACATTGTTCACACGTACCGTGAAGGGAATAGAGCCGCGGACTGGCTCTCGAAGCACAGTCTCGTCTATCCCTACGGTATGCGGGAACTTGTGGACCCGCCAAGGGATCTGTGTCATATTCTGCAGGAGGATAATCTGGGAATCTCCTTTGAACGCCGGGTGGTGGTTCACACGGATTGTTAATCTTCCTTTCTGCTTCCCTCTTTCCTGATGTAGCCTCCCTCTTTCTTGGCCTTGGCCTCCCTTAATGCAAAAAAAAAAAAAAACGATCCCATGTGGCATCCAAAGAGAGAGATAGAGGGGAAGCCAGTGGATTGTTTGCTTATTCAACAAATGCTTGTTTGTTCGTTGTAGGTGTGTACCCTTTAATATGCGACTTAATCAGAGTAGTGATTGGTGAAGAATTGAGCTAATCAAAATTAAATTTTGAATTTGGCATCAAAGTGATTCACGGTTCATACACCAACATATTGATTGACGATGCATTTGAAATCAAATTAGGGTGATTGAAATGCAACAAATTAATGTGGCCTGCAGATTTCACAGCAAACATATGGCAACTGAAATCTCTATTGTCGCTCTGAAAACCATTTTCATTGAAACAACAAATCTGGAAAAACTATAAGAAACAAGAACATGCCGGCTAACTACATTCAAGACAAAATTAAGGGTGAGTAAATGGTAATAAGGGTAATTATATTTGTGCGATGAATCTGCAAAACAAATCAACCAAAATGCCAAATCATCACGAGGAGTTGACTCAGACGAGAGATTCTTTGTGTAGCCAAATGTGACCAATAATTGGTTGCAACTAATCCCCAGTTGTTAATTGGAGTTGTTTTCCATCCTTTTTAACGTTGATGCACCAACGTGTTTAGGATCCTACTAATTGAATATAAATTCACTGCCGACAGCTCACCATATGCCCTAGCTTAGCTACTTCCTTCATTTCTTTACTTCTTTCTTCATCCAACGACCAATCATCAATTTTGATATATGAAATTGCTTTGCATTGCCCAAAAAGAAAGACGGTTATTTCCCTTCCCATTTTTACTTACATCCCAAAAAATTAAAACCCACAAAAAAAAAAAACAACGTGTACGAGTATGATGATCTTAAATAAACCACATTCCTCCCCCTTCACCTCCCCACAAGAATTCAACCCGATCTCTTCGCCGCCGCCGTCGCCGTCCCGTTCCGTTCCCGGCAGAAGTGGAAGCTATCCTTGTCCATCCTGTCCACCACAAAATGCGCCAACATCCCGTTGGTCACCTCCACCAAATTCTCCCGACACAGAAACTCATCCCCACAGACCCTCTCCACGTCCCTATAATAATCGTGTACGAAAACATGCGTCTTCCCGCCACCTCCCTTCCGGCTCCTCGCCAGCACACCGGCAGTAAAAATCGACATCATCCTCCCGGGCGCGTCTGGCCCCTCGCCACGTGGCCCGTCCACGAGGATGACGTCCCAATCCACGTCGTACACGTGGTTGGGCAGGTCGTTGATCCCGAGCCTGCACTCGGAGAAGAGCAAGTTCTGCACGGGCCGGCACTCTTGCTGGACGAGCTCCTTGGTGGAGCCGAGGAGCTCGTCCAGCTCGGCGGCCCGTGTGGCGTACTGGACGTCGAACACGTCGACGTCCGGGTGGAGCTCCTCGAAGTAGGCCGCGTAGTAGCGGTTCTCCTCGACCACGACGGTGCGGCCGCGGTGGTTGAGGGACTTCCAGAGCAGTGTCTCGTGGGTGAGGCCGAAGACGAGGAGGTTGCAAGGGTGGGAGCACTTGCGGAGGACGTCGGAGACCGACTTCAGCTCCGCGTGTGACATGTGGAAGGTGTCGTTGGAGCGGGACGCGTAGTGGACGAGCGTGTTGATCACGCTCGTAGGGAGCGGCGGCGGAACGGGGAGTACGGTTGCCTCCTCCGTGTCTGGTGATGACCGCATGGAGGAGCGGAGCGTGGCGGGGTCGCGAGTGTAGATGAGGGTGAGGAGGAAGGCGATGGTGAAGAAGGAGAGGACGGCGAGGAGCCAGAGGCGGTTGGATGATGATGATGATGAGGTGGCAGCTTGCTTTTGGATGTAAGGGTGGAGGAGGATGAGCTTTGTGTTGCCATTGCCGTTGTTGTTGTTGCTGTTCTTCATGATCTCTTTCGAGGAATTGACCTCTATGGTTTTCGTCTTGACAAGATTCTTCAACTTCAAAATTGATGTTCAAAAAATCTTGATGGGGAATTTGTGGGGAAGGGAGAAGTTTTAAATGGTGGGAGAGAGGTTGGGGAGTTGAGAGAGAGAGAGAGAGAGAGATATATGGGAGAAGAAGACTATGAGATGTGAGTATCACATTAGTTACATTTCAATCAACCTAATTTCGATTATAGTATTCTGGAATTGCCCGCCCGGCGGCCCACTAGTAGTCTTCCTCCCAAGTTTTCATATTTGTTGCATATATACAATTTTGACGGGAAAATATGATTATTATTTTATTGATGTTTGTTGGTTTTGATTGGGAAAGGGTAAACAAATGATATTTTGGCTAAGCTAATGTTGGTATTTGTGGTTGGAGAGGATGGTCAAGCACAATTTCAACTCGTGTTGTTAGGTATTACTAGACCTAATTCGTATTGGGGTCGGTATTATCCGACTCGCAATAATGTGGGACAGAGTATGCATACACTTCCGAGTTCCGACTTGCTGCATTCTTGTTCCTTTTGATCTTGATTTTTGCTTCGATATTTATTTTTATTCATCATATTTTGGTTTTCCTGCAATCATATTTTCACCCAATGAAGTCTTGAAATAGGTGCAAGACTTGATTCATAACTAATCAAAATCAAATTGCTCAATTGTATATATATTTCCTATTCTATATAAGTAATTTAATTTTGTTTATCATAAAAATTAAAATTTTGTATTTATTTTTTTCAAATAACATAAAAGAATGGATCGATCTATCTCGATCTCTATCTATGCCAATATTACTTGACTTGACCTAACCTAGATGTGAGATTGGCATGTGTGTATTTAGATACTCGCATGCCTGTCCATTGCCATCACTAACGGCCGAGAAGTATAGTTTCTAGAGTGGACTAAATTGACTAGAAATGAAATTTTAGGAGTGGATTGGGAGGGGGCGAGAAATTGAATGTGGGGGAATTCAATGGAAGTAGGAACGGAGCTGTTGGAGAGTGACATAGATCATAGATGGATGTGTAGGTCGTGGCGGTATAAGTGTAGTGACCCAGTAACTAATTACAAGCCAAAAGTCGCTTTTCCTTCTTCATTTCTCTGTTTTGCTTCTCAAGTAACCTGTTTTCTACTTCTCCCAAAACCCAAAAAAGAAAACAAATATTAGTCCATTGTGTTGGTTTCCATTGAAGAAAAAAACTTGGGTTTGAAGGGGACCAATTACCAGCTGCTACTGCGACTCCAATATACATTACCAAATACCAAATGCAGAACCATATACCAAAATACAAGAAAACATGGACAAGGGGATTCGCAGATTTTTCCTCGGAATACACACATTTTTTTTAAAAAAATTTCCAAAGTACACATATTTTATGAAAAATTCTCAATCTACACATGTTTGGGCATCACCGTGGTTGTCGGACGCGGTGAAGGCATTCATCGCTACAGAAGAAAGTGATGAATGTATCACTCATGTAGAGGAGCCTAGTCAAGGCACAATGAAGGCTTCATCGCGGTAGAGAAACGCGATGAAGGCCTGACCTAAACTGAAACTTCTAACAAACATAACTTTGAGAACGGTTATTCAATCGTAGCAAAAAAAATTATTCCGCATATTTTTTTATTCCGCAAGATTACGTTCGTTTGAAGTTTCAGCCTTAGATCAGGCATTGAACGTGTTTCTCGCTCGCGGTGAAGCCTTCACCGCGCTCCTCTACCGTGGTATGCATTCACCGCTTTCCTCTCCAGCGGTGAAGATGTTCACCTCGTTCTACGGCCGCGTTGATGTCCAAACATGTGTAGATTGGAATTTGTTTCATATATAAAACCCGTGCATTTTGGATTTTTCTTTTTAACGTGTGTATTCTGGGATAAAACCGCGATTCGGCAAAGTGTATAGTTTAAGTAAACCCAGAAATGCAGATAGCCTACTGTTAACTTACTAACTAATAATTAATGATTCTATTTTCTTATTAATTAGTGACGTTATTACGTTGTTAGGTTGTGAAATGCCTTTAAATTTTCCACTCCTATAGGAGCAAGACTTGAGAGGGACTTGAGATGAATAAGCGTATGTTGCTTGATAGGGAGGACAAATTTGTGAATATAATATCTTATTTTCTTCCGGTTAACAGATTATAGTTCAGTTATATTAAAAATAAAAAGGAGGTTCTGGTGGTATTTGGAATACCTAATTTGCATAAGTGATCTAATCAAGTCCAGAAGATGGTAGCCTATTATAAGTCCAATTTGATAGGGGACATCTTACCAACCCAGTTGGTTTGGTTTGTGGAACGTTCATGTTAATTAGTGCTTAGATTATGTATCTTCGGCCAATATTATTATTGTACATGTATGATTCTGAATTTTGGTGCCCCAATTATTGGAGAAGTGATAGAAACATGGGTGTGTTTGGGGTTGGTAATGGCTCTTGGTACCTCAATCGTGTACCATTTTCGTTGAATGGAGGAGCACAAGTTTCATTTCCGCTGTTATCATGACTCATGACGAGTAGGACCGGTAGAGTTAAAAGAAAAGTTTTAATTTCTGATATTTTTATGTCTTCTCCTCCAAACCAATAACACTAAGCCAATGTTGTCAAACTGGTTTATGTCAGTGTGTCGGTTTCGTAAGTGAAATGGTTCAACCACGGTATACGCCGGTACGTCGGTTTTGATAAAAAAATGTGAAGGAAAAAACGTGAGAAACATAACACTAAATAAATTACATATAGCCATCACGTCTCACGGCCTAAGTTCAGGTCCTTAAGGCATATTTTTTAAGGAGGAACTTAAAGCCTTGTGATTGGCTAACTCAAGATTACGTAATTAGTAGGGAGTTATTAGTTAAATAGTTGTTAGGGGTATTAAGGAGAATACAATTAAATTAAAACATGCGCCTCTTTCTTTTCAAAAGCCCTAACTCACATCTCTCTTTCTTTTCGTCTGTTTATTATTCCTCCCGCAAGCAGACGAAACGTCCATCGTCCTGAGTTCTCCGGCCGTCGTCCCAAGTTCTCCATCCGTCGTCCGGTCGTCCCTTCTCCGTCCCCGAGTCCATCCGGTGGTCCCGAGTTCTCCATCGTCCGGTCGTCCCTTCTCCGGCCGACTATTCAAGTCCACCATCGCAAAGTACAGCAGCCGTTGTTGTCGTCGGTCCCGCTGTTCTCCGTCCTGAGTTCTCCCTCCCGCTGAGATTTCCGGCAAAGCACAACAGCCGGTCGTCGTCGCTGCCTAAGTCCCGTTCCCGTCGTCGTGCCAGTCCACCATCGCCGATTCCATCACCATCGTCGTCGAACCCTGTCCGTGATCTCGTTTCAACTCCCAGTCTCTCGTCAGCGACGTTTAAAGGTATTTTTTCGTCTCCAATTTTTTTCCCCGGTATTTGTGGGGTTTTGGCGTTGCATGGGATTAGGGTTTTGGCGCTGCATGTGATTAGGATTTTGGCAACGCATGGGAGGAGTAGGTCGTTTTTAATTTATTTGGTGTCTATTATTAATCATTTCGTGGACGTTCGCAAAGTTTTTCTGTCCATTGTTAATCAACATGTGCTTGTTCTCAACCTTTTGGCATCTATTATTAATCATTCTGTGAGCGTTTACAAACCGTGTTGTGTCTCTATTATTAATTAATACGTGCCTGTTCTCAACTTTTTGGCTCTCTATTTTTAGGGGTCGTTTGCTTGTTGGATTTGAGTCATGGATTCGGGTACCAAATCCCAAGGTTGATGGATTTAACATAAGTCCATTGTTTGTTGAAGGGTGGCATGCTAAATCTGTGGGGTCCACGGACTTGTAAATCCCACATATTGATTTGGGATTTGCAAATCCTTGATGGTTAGTTATTTATTTAACAAATCCATTATCAAATCTATCATGCAAACATTAGACTCTTCAAATCCATAATCCAATAAATCCAACATAAATCCCAAGGGTTTTATTGACAAAATCCCTCATTTTTCAAATCCAACAAGCAAACGACCCCTTAATCAATCTGTCATGCAAGTCAATTATTTGTGTCCATTGTTAATCAATCTGTGCACATCAATTTTTCCGTCTCCAATATTTATTTCGTATTTGTGAGGTTTTTCGTCGCGTCGATGCATAGGATTAGTCGATGCACAGTAGTATTTATTTTTAATTTTTTTTTGTGTCTATTATTAATCATTTCGTGGACATTCGCGAGTTTTTTTGTGTCCTTTGTTAATCATTTTCTGCTCTTTCTGAACCTTTTTGCTATCTATTATTAATCATTCGGTGGGCGTTTACAAACTGTTGTTGTCAACATTGTTAATCAATATGTTCTCGCTCTCAACCTTTTGCTCTCTATTATTATCCCGCATTACAAAGATTGTTAAAACTAATAATGTGTGCTTAGGGTTTTTCATTAATACAGTTTATGATCAATTTACGTAGCCATGATTTGTAATCTTTTGAAGGGCTATGGTCAATATTTTTACCCACCCAATAATCAACTTTTTTCGAATTGTCAATATTGTCTAATAGGCCTGTTAATTATGTTATGTTGTGATATTAACTTTTTTAATGTCGTTTTGTAATTGTTTTATCAATTTGTTTGTAATCGGCATTAATTCACTAATATAGTTTATTATCAATTTAGTTCATAGTGATTTGTAATATTTTGAAGTGTTGTGATCAATCGTGCATGATTTGATAATGTCTAGTCTTATTATTAAGTGTGTGTTATTATTAATCTCTATGCTGAATTTATGTGTAATATTATCAATCTTAGTTTATTATTAACTTTTCTTCGTCCATTAGTAATATTTTCAAAGTCATGTTCAAGGTTTTACTAGTATTAATCTGTCGGTTGAATTAACGAGTAGTATTAACAATCTTTGTTCATTATTAACGTTTTCTCAACTTTTTGGCTCTCTATTTTTAATCAATCTGTCATGCAAGTCAATTATTTGTGTCCATTGTTAATCAATCTGTGCACATCAATTTTTCCGTCTCCAATATTTATTTCGTATTTGAAAGGTTTTTCGTCGCGTCGATGCATAGGATTAGTCGATGCACATTAGTATTTATTTTTAATTTTTTTTGTGTCTATTATTAATCATTTTGTGGACGTTTGCGAGTTTTTTTGTGTCCATTGTTAATCATTTTCTGCTCGTTCTGAACCTTTTTGCTATCTATTATTAATCATTCGGTGGGCATTTACAAACTGTTGTTGTCAACATTGTTAATCAATATGTTCTCGCTCTCAACCTTT